ATATTGAGCGTTCGTTGGCTGAAGGTACTGCTGCGCAGTATTGCTGGGAAGTATTCCATATCACCCAGATCCCCCGGTGCTACATTTTTCCCCAAAAACGTTTAATGTTAACCAGCTCAACAGGAAAAAGGAATTCGTCTGCCCTTTCTACAACTAATTATCATAGTCTAAGCACTCTAGTGGAAAAAAGTAGCACCAGAGGGTCTGGGGGTTTCGAATACCCCTCAGCATACGTAGATTTGATCACCCCGGTCCTTCTATAAGTGAGCTAATTTTTACGTCTTGAACCGGTAAGCGGAGGCGTGTATTACGTAGGTTAAATGTGGTCGCCAATTTAGATTGGACACATGTAGAATAACAGGGGCGTACTTAGAGCGTTAAAAGTCTCTCGCCATTTGGTTAAGTAAGGACGCAAACGTGAACTAGAACGTTTGTGCCCGTATTCGAGTTCAAGTTTGGGTTCGATTTGCGTGCAATGCAATTGAGAATTAAATGTGATAACCAACATGGGGTCATTGACTTTTCATGATCTTGAAGGAGTCATTGACCTCCATGGGAGAGAGATTTTTCGCCTTTACCTTAACCTACTTTCCAAGGTCGCTATCAGCGGGAGATGCGTGAATTCACCCTGACTTACTTTCCTTGGTGACGAGAGACCTTGAACGATCTAAGTACTCCCCTGTCGCACAATTTCGATCATATTATTTTAATTCGAGACCAACTTTGTTTGTATTGGAATTATTAGTTGTTAGTTTTGTTTAAAATAATCGCCTTGTAGTATGATTTTTATTTGCTCAGTAGATTACGATTAAGAAATGTTAGGGACATCTGGAAGTAATTGCGTTAAGTATTTCTTAAAAGATTATCTCATTTAAATCAGGTCATGCGATAAGGAGTTCGTTATCGCTCCGTAAAAGCTAATCAATTTGGAGATAAGTATGTGTTCGGCGAAGAAACAGAGGTGTAAGTGTGTGAGAAAAAATGATAAAGAAGTAGCTAGGATCGGAAATTTGAAAGAAGGGAAGAATATTTTAAATAGGTGCACCAGACTTTGAACGTTGGTAGGCGCTTTTTGCTTGCGATTTTGATGCAGTCAGTCTTATGACAGTGTCCAGACTGTCTTACTAAGATGTAAGAGTAATAATGTCACTTTCCATGACAGGAAGCTGTGGCTAAACTCACATTACGCGTTCCTCAATCCTGAGGGGCTCGTGTGGTTTACAGACGGGTCCCTAACGGAACACAGGAGAACCTCTGTAGAGGTTACCGTAATAAGCATATATACCATATGGAGTGACAGTCAGATGGCGCTCAGAGCCCTGTCAGCAGATGAAACACCGAGTATGTGGTCTCTCACAGAAACAGGCCTCAGCTCCTTGGCGACGGCTATCTGGAACCGCCTCCCCGGTTAGATCTTCCGTATTCCTCGATTATACGGATTCGTGATCCAAAATGGCGCGCTCAATGTACATAGGTTCATATTAAACGTACAGCGAAGAATCTCTCTTTCCCACACAATTTTTTCGAACGTAGTCGCCGAATCAAAAAACCGAAACGGACCCGATGCAAACTAAGCTTGGCAACGTTTTTACCACCCGAGGGTTATGTATTGGGATAAAAATAAATAGGCGTATAGCAGGAAGTCAGCCCCTCATACGCAGTAAGTTTTTTATAACCAGAAACACTGTGGCGTTTTAAGTCGTATCCGATTGGCCACTCGCTTCTTATCTGAAAGCGCTTCATTCTATAGCATTGTGAATTGTGTTGTAATTCTCTTCATATCACAGGAAGTGATTGATTTTTATTAACGATCTGGCCACGATTAACCATTCTGTGTGACGCGAATTAACCGCTATTAAATTCTCCTGCGACTGCTAATGGCATAGTATTTACGTGAGAAATACCAAACTGTCAAACGACGCCGCATTAATAACAAACAATTTTCAAAATTGAATCGCCACAGTTACAAGATAATCTCTGCGGTATTTTTCGAAATTTGCGTATGGCAGTCGGCGTTTCCAAATGGGGCAACATCTCCATTAATTAGCAAAGAAATCTGGGCCGCGCGACAAGTGAAGCAAGAAATGAAAAATAATAACAGGCTTCGAGGGAAGCCGCTTATATTATCCCCGTCCTCCCTCGCCGAAATAAATAGAGAAAACGCATGTAAGAACATGGGGAAGAGACAATTCAAAGTGCCTTTAATCCCCGAGTTTAGTCTAAATTTTATGCATATATTTACTGAAGCGTACTAAATTTATACAATTAAGCGAGTTACATTACGAAAATGTAAATAGATCAGAGTTGGTAATGCAAACTTAAACCTACAACTCGCACTGTTTTCCCGAAACCATTATCGGGTGGAGAAAAACAATTCGAGGATGGCGAGTTAACTGCACTCGCTTTGCATTACCTCCAGATACCGTTACCCCGTTAGCGAAGTTTCCGTTTTCGTGGCATCTCACTAAATCACATTAGACAAGTTTCCTGGACGTCAAGTTTGTTTTATGGATTTATAAATTGTTTCAGTTAATAAAACGGCGCATCTCGACGGTAAAGAGCAACGATACGATGTTTGTTTAAGGGTTTAATATTGACAGCGGGAAATTTACACAACATTGCGGCACATCGTCTTGAAGTTGACCTAAATAAAACGTGTAGTATACAGAACAGTTTGCTATTCGAAGTTAATCCAGATTTGTGGGACACAGGTGCATTAGAAGGTTTTCCAAAGTTTTCCAAGTTTATTTTATTACGGGATAGCAGATTCTTTTCGAGCAAAAATATTCCATACACACAAATTTGTTGTCTATTATTATTATTTTATTTATTAACCCAAGCCTTTCGGCTTCGGGGACTTAATATATATTATATATAATGATACTAAGTAGTACAACACCCGAAATAGCTATATAATGTTTATTCTTATTCCTGTCTTTTCGCTTCCTCTCTTCTCTGCAACGTCCTTCTCATCCAGTAAATTCCTCTTCCATCTTCCTGTAATATTTCCTTTACTGTTTTGCTCGTCTTGATTGGAGCACTCGCTAACGCTCGTGCTCCAACTTTCATACGCGTTTTTCAATAAAGCCCTTTCCGCACTTGTATTACAATATACTATTCAGTGTTTTTAATGTAGTATGGTTTTTTAGTGTTTAGTGAAGTTTATAGTTTTTTAGTGAAGTTTATTGCAGTTTAATCAAGTGAAGTAAACTTGAAGGCAAGAAATTAGGATATTTAATGACGATTTTGATGATTTTTGAATATTTCTCGAGAAGTTAAGTGAAAAGTTGAAGTTTTAGGTTATGAAGGTTCACGCAGGTCAAAAAAGTTCAGAGCGCTTAGAAGATTCATAGACCTTCACCATTTTCAACGATTCTACGGCTTTCCAGTGTTGGAAAACTGATATTTTAGAATTTGAAATTCCCAACGTAACGCCTAAACCTGAAACTCGAAACCCTCGAACCTCGAACCTAAAACGTGTAGAACTGCAAACAGCCTTAGGTGGGATACCTTAAAATCCTCAAAACGATAACGTTATTATTAAAATATATTATCCTCGAAGCTTTTTTAATCCTTTGAATGCTCAAGTGTCCTCCTAAGTACGATAAAGGTGTCAAAACCTCAAGGCTTTTTGAAGGAACCTTTTTAATAACCTGAATTTTCCTGAACCTTTTAAACTTTTTGAACTACAAGTTGAATTTCATACAATTTTCTCCTCGCCCTCTGAATGTAGGTATACTTTCAATGATCTTCTTTCTTAAGCCTTTCGGATGGTATTGAACCAATTGAAAGCAATTGTAAGCTTGTTAACCTTGAGACCTCTGTTCAGTCACAAATTGACATTACCACTAGAAAATCGCCGTATGGGATTTTACATTGGGTTAAGTTAAAGTCGACCTTATATGGCTCACAAAAATTGAGTGTTGCCCAGTAAAATAAAATATCACATCACATAATTGGGTCTTGAACGGCGACCAACCTTAGGACTTTGAACGGTGCTCAACTTTTGAACTTCGAACTTCGAGCAACTTTTGAACTTCCTCTTCAAAAGAGAGCTAGAAAACTTTGAAGACATCCGAATTCATCCTTATGGAATTATTCATGGAGTTGATTTAGAATCGCCCTATATGGCTATCACTTGACATCATATAATTCGATACGCATAAATGCGGAGGTTTTTATAATCGCTGAGTAAAGTACATGACTTTCCAAGGTCATTATTTGGAGGGTAAATATCACACTCTTTCACTTCAGCTGAAGATGGCAAGGGACGCAGCAGGTACTTGGTGGATTGGTTCCGTGCGACTCCGAAGAGACTACACGTTCCATTTACGAATAGAAGGAGAGAGGACCTTGGGCGAGTCACTCTTCTAGGACGTAAACTGGGCCTGGACAGGTCAATGTAATATTTGCGAGCTATCATAGACTTCCACCTGACTTAGAAAGGGCACATTGGGCGAATAATCAAAAGGCCTATGTGCATGTAGAAGCCTTTCTGAATGTACAGGGGCCCTCGACTGGTACATTGGCTTTACACTTTTGTGATAAGATAAATAATTATGATGTCCTGGTATGCGCAGGATAAGCTACAGGAAGCAGATAGGAAAGGTACAAAGACTCGCCTGTCGAGGAGTCACTGGAACCATTAAAACCACGCCAACTTTGGCCATGGGGGCACTTCTGAAACTTGAGTCTTTACATTGAGCTATAGAGGCAGAGGCTCGGACGGCTTAAATGCGGCTAAATGATAGGGTCAACTTGATCTGAGTTCCACCGCACTGCGGAATAGGGGGCAACGAGCTGGCTCGGGAAGGTAATAGTGTGGTGCTAGTCGAGTCCGAGCTTACCCTAGGAATTTTTCTCCCCGTTGTCAGGGCCAGGATCAAAGACTGCGTGTCCAGGCTCAGTGGAAACAAGCAACCGGACGTGATCAAACACTTAAGGCCTAAGACCAGAAGTACCGTAGGGAAGGAATGCAAAGTAAAACACTGAAATTGGTGAAAGTTTGTTTATTAATAATATTATTATGGAGATTTGAAACCTATGAAGGTTATTCGGTGTACGTTAATGTTTAAAAGCAAAACAAGTAAAGTCAAAAATGTGTCACACTCGAAAAACGAGAGAGTGCCAAGTACGGCTGAGAAAAACCTAGACATTTGATTAATTAATCCAAAAAAAGTTTGAGCAATAATTAAAGAAACACACTAATTGCTCAAATACTCAATGTTGGTTGCAATCAAGTTTGAAAACAAGCAGGTTAGCAGGTAGCACAAATCCTTTGTGAAAAACTGCATGGAAATTTACATGGCCTTGGTCAACTCCAACCTTAACAACAAAATATGTGGAAACACGCGAATCGCTACCTATTATCGCACAGAGATTCTCAACCAAAGAGTTTTTGTTAGCAGTCCCCCGCTTAAGGACCCGTAACTCGCCCCTCGTTCGGGGTATTCAAGCCTACAGTTGAAAATCTAGTACTTCTACACCCCAAAGGGATTCAAGCATACACCTTTCCGTAATGCATTAGGCAGTCGACATAATCGTAAATTTGCGCGCACTTGTCGGTCTGCTCCACAACACTTCCATCGCAAAAGTCCAACATCTGGTAGGTCATCCGCTCGAACGTCTTAAAGAACTGATCCCTGTTGATCCTTCCGTTCTCGTCCGTAAGATTAAAGGCCATGTGGATGCAATTGAGGTAGCACTTAAAGGTGGGCGTATCCGTCACTTTGTGCTGGCGAAAGTACCCATCCTTCTCGTCGTTCGTTATGGGCCACGTTTTCTCACACTCGGGATGTTCCTGTTCGGTGCGGTTTCGCCATCTGTCATATATTGCTTGGGTTTCCACCTCAGGAGGAATGAATTTATTAAAAAAAAGGCGAAGGTTGGTGAGCTCTTACCTTAGCCTCAAAAGCGCGGGCAGCAACGAGGACCGAAGCAAAAACGAGTAGAACCTGTGAAAGGCTCATTGTGCAACTTAATGGACTTGTTTCACGCTAGCTTTTATACAAGTCTACCTCAAGGACCGTAATATATTTCAATATATTTTTGTGATGACCTTCTTTTAAGATTTCAAAAGAAATTTATACGGTGTGCTTGTAATTTGCAAATTATTTCGATGTTTATTTATGAACGTTCTCAAGCGCAATTTACATTGCTCAATTTTTGGATTCCATAGCTACGGGCTGTTATAGTCTTTATCCAACTTTTCAACTTCCCTGAGCTACACCGATTCTGCCAGTTCTTAAAAGCTTTAAGAATCCTTGCGTTCCCTCGGCACTTACACCTTCTGAGATTTACCACGGTTTTCCCCGAAATCATCCAGAGTATCGAGCTCTTTCACTTCTCCCATTGTTCTACTTTCTCTACGTTTTCCTGTTATTCCATTGACTTCGCTCTTTCATTCCCGTCTATTTCCCATTTTTAAATTTTCTGATTCCAATTTGTCCAAATTGTTTAGGCGGGAGCAAGTATGACTCTCTTTAGATAATAATAATATTTTTCTGATTCCTGTATTTTTTGGGCCTACTAAAAATGTTGGAAATATTTTTCATTTTTTCTAAATTATTAGTGTTTCAGTAATAATAATTGAATGAATTCAACAGAATCATTAATTCAGTAATTCCTTCACTCCTTTAGTTCCTAAAGCGTCTAAATGTATTTCCAAAGAATATAGTGATAATCTTGGAAAGTTACCATTGAGTAATGAAAAAAGCGAAAACAAGTGAGACATCACAACTGTAACATTTGCACATTGATAAATAAATAAATAAATAAATTAATTAATTAAATAGATATTAATGACCCCTCAAAAGTCAATTTGCATAACCTCTCATGTAGCAAGGTTTGGACTTGAATGCTGGGAAAACGAAACACCGGATAACATTATATGTATGTCTCAGATTAGTTTTTCCTAATATACAGGGTGTTCACTATGCAAATTCCCACGGAGAAAATACAAGAGTCTTTGTAACACTAGTATGATAGAAAAGTGCGGGGTAGTCTACCGAAGTGTTAGTAGTGTGTCTCGAAAGAGCCACCCTGTATATAATTTCGTGCAGGATGCTCGCCTTCGTCTACTTCTTTCATTGAACTATGTGCAAAATGTTCAAGTTTTTACATGTAATTTCTGCAGTCGGGTTTGGTACACTCGCTTTACAGTGTGACGCAAGGAACACAATCCAATCGATGCGTGAAATAAAAAAAAAAACATGGAAGAACCCAATTTTGCAGGAGCGCTTGGTTTTTGCGACTATGGCCGGTTACCGACGAGGAAGTCGATGTATAGGTCCTCCAGCATAAGCTTTCTTCAAGAATAATGAACAAAATTATCCCTTTAGTAGGAAAAGTAGGATGAGATGCGTGGCGAGGATTACCAGGAAATCAAAATTTCATAATTTCCTCCAGAATTTTGAGAATAGCAAGCGTCTCGGTGGTCTTGGAGTTTATTCTCGAGCACTACGTTCCTTGGAGGTATCACATATCCCACAAAACGACGGCGGTTGCTACTTTGTCCCAAAAGCGCCGGTTTCCAGACAATGTTTCAAAAATGGTAATTAAGAATCTTCCTTTTTGGACGTGCAGTACATAATATTTACCAGAAAGCTAACATTTGATGGTCTTCTCCCCGAAATTCACAAACGATTGGCTGTGACGTTACGATCTCGTTTCTGAGTGGTGTGACGTCACTTCCTGGTCCAGAACATACATTGGTCATCTACTCTCCTCTCTTCCTCTAACCCTCGAGACTGAAAAAAAATGCGGGTCACTATGTAATTGGACGCAAGCCCGTTGAGGGTCCAGAACAAGATGGGGATAATAAATTAAATAAATAAATAAAGAAATAAATAAATAAATAAATAAATAAATCAATAAATAAATAATTGTAGTATTTCTGGAAATGACAAAGGAACTATCGCTTAGCCCTCAGGGCCCTCATAATACTTTTTAGGTCCTCTTCTGCAAATAAGTATTGCATTGATCGTAGCACCGGTGGCTCTGGGGAGTATGAAATACCCCCCAGCACGAAGAGTCCTCGGCAAAAGACCACTTGGTGACCTCTTTCCCTTTAACCCTCGGTATTCTCATGGGTTTTGGAAATGACAATGGTACCGCTGTACACTGGGGGTATTCCATGTCCTCCAAAGACACGTTTCCTCACAAAAGGATGCATATTAACAGAAGCAGAAAAGAGATAATGGAATGGGGGAGATAATGAGAGTGGGTGAAAGCAAAGAGGAAGTGGAAGTGGAGGGGGAAAAATTAGACGGTTAACTATCCGGCCCGTGTGGCACAGTTCAGTTAAGTCTGGACTGTGGTGCTAAGGGTCCCTGGCTCGAATCCGGGTACGGGCATGGATATTTGTAAATGTACAGTGGGTTGGGTTGGTAGAGCAGACTTGGCTGAAACCCCGCCCGCTCAAAAATAAAGGCAAAATAAAATAAAATAAAAATGTATGGTCGAGAAGGGGTTAAAGTGTAAAAAAATATTGTAAATTAAATGGCGGTTGAGGAGCTAATATTGGAGTGAGATTTAAACGCCAGAACAGACAATAAAGGAAAAGGAGTAGAGGTGGGAAGATAGAAAGTCAAGAAATAAGGAATTATCAGAATTATCAGAAAATTTTATACGGAAATATAGAGGGTGATAAAGGGACGGCCAATACAGACTCATGGATGGAAGAGGGGTGTCGGTAATTCCTTACATACTAGTGAACGAGAAAATACTGGAAGAAATTCAGATAGGAACAAGGATAGAATCGAATTTGAAAGGGAAGATACAAGGGGAAAGGAGATTAGAGGAACAAAAAGGAAAAATAGGAGAGAGTACGGGTAGGCAAATTTGAAAGGGAGTATTAAAAAGGCAACAACGTGCAATAGGTAAATGAAGATAGAGATGGAAAGATAATAAAAATGGGTGGTAGAACAAAGAGAGTATAGAAGAGAGACAGATACAGAACAATGTTGGAGAAATGAAGAAAAGGATAGAGGAGAAGAAGTTGAGAGTACCTTTTCTCCATTTTGAGCTCATTTACGCCATTCCTGTATTGTTTTTGTTCTTCCCTAGTTGTCTTACCTCCTTTTGTACTTCCCCACTCTCTTCTTATATTGCTTCTGGGCTCTTTACGTATTCCATCTATCAGTGAGTTTGCCTTACTAATTCGTCTCCTTTTTTGTACCTACTGCCTCCCCACAGCTAACGGTTTTGCAACCCACTGTACCTCCTCTGTATGTTGTGTTGCCTACTCTACCACAACGTTTTCCATTAATTTTAAATGCTGGATCGGCCTTGTTATTATTAATTTTTACTTATATTCTTTGGAATGTTGTTTTACTGCTGTTTCCCCGATTTAATCTTGAGTTCTTTCCCTTTTTTTAAACCTCGCTTAGCACTACCTTTAATTGCTCTCCACTGTTTATCATTTAACTATCTCTAAACCGGGAAGGAAAATATGTTGCTGATCAATTAAAAGTAGATTTACTGGAACCCTACATTTAAAACCCTAAAAGAAAATTAGAAGTAAACCCACTTTCTTGACAAACTAAAATGTACGTACCTCTTAAATAAAAGGGCTACTAATGCAACAATCGTCAATAGAAACTGTAATATGACAAATATCAGCCGAAACCTAAAGAGAAGGTACACTTCAATTGCGGGAAATGCAAATGGCGGTACTTACGATAACGAGATAGAACGCAAATTATATTCTCCCTACGGAGATCTATGGATCTGTAGCGGACGAAATTTCCGGTATTAACTTCTAGTAATTACGTTGCACAAATGTGCATAAAACGCTGAACCGACAAGTAGTTTAAATATTAAGGGTCTATTCTTTAACCGACAAGGGTGTTATTTACGAGTTAAGGAATAGAAGCTTTCATATAATTCATGACTTCCTGGGAGTCATCCGAAATGTACTTTGTTGCACATGTGTTACACAATCGGTAGTTTCGAACAGTAGGTCCACAGCACTTGTTAAGATAAGTCGAGTTCGGTTCAGCGATTCTTAAGATTCATTTTTGATTCTAAAATAAATTATATTTTAGTTGTATTTATTTTACTTTCACCCTTATCCACAACACCTACCACAGATCAATCCGTCCTAATTACCGCATAATTCCCAATTTAATGAATCCAATTACCAGAGATTAATAAAATATGGATGATGGCAATTAAAATTCCATGCCTTCTAACCGTTTCGGTAAAATGAAGTGTAACTGAATAAGGTTCTAGACAGAAAGAAAATACACATACTGTAGAGTATACTAATAGAGAAAATAATTTCCATTTAAGACCCCTGTAAACCAACAAATTTGAGAATCTGAAAATCAAATGCGCAAAAGGTTTGGATGTACTCGCTAACTCGCGTACACCTTTTCGTAATGCAATACGCAATTGACAAACTCGAAGATCCTCTCGCACTTGTCGGTCTTCTCGACAACCCCAGCATCACAAATGTCCATCATCTGGTAGGTCATCCTCTCGAACATATTATAGAGCTCATCCCTGTTGATATTTCCGTCCTCGTCGATAAGATTAAACTTAACGTGGATGCAATTAAGGTAACACTTGAAAGTGGGCGTGTCCGTCAATTCGTGCTGGCGAAAGAACGTATCCTTCTCCTGGTCCGTTATGGGCCACATTTCCGAGCACTCTGGATGCTCCTGTGCGATACGGTTTCTCCATCTGTCGAATATTGCTTGGGTTTCCACCTGGGGAAGAATCCATTTATTATAATGAAAGCTTGATGGGTTCTCACCTGAGCCTCAAAAGCGGAGGCAGCAACGAAGACTGTAGAAATAGTGAGTAGAACCTGGGCGATATGCATTTTGTAGCTTAATACATTTCTCTCGCTCTGCCTTTTATACAAGCCGACCTCAAGGACCGTAACATATTTCAATATTGGGAAGGTGTGATTACATTTTCTATGGTTTCCGAGAAATTAAAACCGCGTGCGTTTGTAATTTGCACAATTTTAATACTTAATTATGGACGTTCTCAAGCGCGAATAGTATTGCATAATTTTTGGATTGCGCAATTATTTAGTGTAATAAGAAAAAAGAAAAAGAAAGAAACACAACAAAAACTCAAAATCTTAACATAACTAAACAACAAAATAATTAAATTCATATCTCAAAAAAAAAATAATAAAGTGTAGACAAACTGCAAGTTAGATTAGGATACGCATGAAAAATAAAGAGAGCAGGTGTAACGTGACAATTTTCACTGTGACATATAACTTCGAAGCACGGCGGATATTTCAGGTAAAGTAATAAGGAAAATAGATCGAAGCCATTGTACAAATTTGCAGGAACTGCAAGTTATTTAAGAGCTCAGAGTGCTAAAGGTCTTGCAATTCTTCCATTCCAATCACTTCTTCGGCTTCTTCAATTCTGAGAATTACCCGTTCTAGTTCGTACAAGTTTTCAATTTTCTCAACAATTCTTCCACGTCTTTCAATTACTCGAGTTAACACCTTTTCTAATTCTTCGAGTTTATCCACACCTCTCCTACAATTACTTTGCTGCAAATTTTTCCTTATCTTCAGCTTTTCAAATTTTTCGTGTGATGCGGGTCCTTCCAACTCTTCGAGCTCCTCGTGTTCTTTCAATATTTCCACTTTTACTTGTCCTTCCATTTTCTCTACTGCTCACCGGAATTTTAAATTTGCTGGAATTTCCCGGATTACCATCACATAATCCGCAAATAACCGTTGGATCGGTCAAGAAAATGGCACATTACTGGCGAGAAAATATTGAAGCACGAGGCTCCTTTGAGGCCGAGTAGTTTAACTTCCGAGTCAAGTATTGTCATTTTAATGATGAGTTTTGTATCAAATTTTACCCGAAATCTTATTTTAATATAAAATTTAAATGTTTATTCATTAATTAATGTTAATTTGTCAGAGATGACAGGAGTTATTTTAGCAAAATGAAATTTCCTAATAAATGTCGCCTGTCAAGCCACAATTTTGATCCTCACTAATCATAGTCGAATTTCCAGTGTGGCTTGCATTTGCAGTGTCAATAAATAAATCGCAAGGGCAATCATTAAGTTGTTTGTGGGATTAATCTGGAAAACCCACTTTTTTTAACGACCTGTTCCCGTGTAGGAAAACCTTCAACAGCAAAACTAACAATGTTGTATATTAAAAAAAAGATTATAATAAGCACTATGTTTTCAAAACAATTTTCTCTTTTATTATTTATTCCAGTCCGAATTGAATATTCATTGCCAAGACCGTCTGTCAGGTCATCTAATAATATATAAATCTCACACTTTTATGATTGTTATTACAGAGATGTCTGGATTTTAGATTTCATTCTTTTGCATTACTGATGGGAATATAATCGTAAATGTGTGAATTTTTATGATTGAATTTCTCTACCTTAACAATTTTTCAGTTTTTTTGTGCTTTTAAGTTTAAGGTTGTTTTTATTCGGCGAAAACGAAAATTTTGATTTTTACTTCGAATTCTAAGTATTACAGCTTGCGGCTTTCAAAATAGTGATGGGAGACTGGAACGCTGGTATTGGAGAAGGTAGAATGGACAGAGTCGTTGGAGATTATAGATTGGGAGCAAGGGCCAAAAGAGGTGTATGTACATCTAATAATAATATAAATAAATAAAATAAAATATAAAAACCGACTTTTTTAAAAAAACGGTTAGATCCTGTATTTAGAAAACGAAGCAAGTTAGGACATAAAATTTTTTAAAATCTTTGCACTCAGTTTTGAATCATCCTGTATATAGGGAGGACAATGGGAATTCAAATGAAAAAGGAGGTTGCAATGAAACTGCAGAAGCCAAATGGATGAGCAGGAAAAATGCAACAATCAAAGTAGCTGAGAAGGAGGTGGTGTATAATAGGAGAGGAAGAATACCAAAGCCATGGATAACATTGGTTGATAAGATGGAAGAAAGGAGGAAGTGTAGGTATTGGCATCGCTAATTGAGGGGACCCAAACATTTCTTATTAATAAAACGTTTTACTCGTATGAGGAACTTTTGGAGAAAACTCTGACTGGAAAATTTTCCAAATTTTATTATGCGAGAAATTTGGCAGCCTTTACTGCTTCCCCACAATTCCAATGAATTAGTTTTAAAAAATTCAATTAACGCCTAATAAAATCAAGGGCACGAGTCAAGGTTTTGGAAACACTCTCCCAAATAAATATTACTCATGTAGATTCCAGTTTTTTTTGTCGATTTAAATAACAGTGAGATTTCGTAATCTTCCCGCGTTTATTAATGGAGTATTTGTTCGCTTCGTTGTCTGGCTACGATTTTCGGTTTTGAATTACATGCTGAAAATTGGTTGCATTATGTTACTTTCACAATTGATCAAATTTAATAAAGCTCGATAAAAAATAAGCAGACATTGCAGAATTCGAAAGCCAGATACAGGACCGGTTGAACCAAAGAAAATTTTAATAAAACACCGCCGCCATAACTATTCCACGAATATTCGAGAGGGGATAATTTTTGCACGAGAATTCGAAGATTCGTCGTTAGCTAGTAAAGGCCACCTTGATAAAGGGCGGTCTAAATAAAGTTGACCTAGTGGTAAAATTAAAAATTCGCGTTAGTCGTTCAAGTGGAAAAAGGTACACTCTGCATATAAGGCGTTTTAAGTGAACGTGTAAAGTCAGAAATTTCCATTGTCAAAGATAAATCTTAATCTGTTAGGAATTTTAAACGAGGGACCTTCAAACATTCAAATAAGTGACAATTTTGTATTTTCAAGGTATTCTGTGATCAATGAACCCACTGAATTTGGTGTCAGTCCTAGTTCATATTTTTTTCGGGATCAGAAAGGAATTCCATAAAATTTATGTTTGAATGAAACCTAGTTCAAGGGTTTATTTATTACTTAATTTGTCATGGTAATCAAAATTAGGATCTGATTACTGACTAAGATGTACCTACCTAAATGTACTTAGTTGATTCACTCGAAATTAAATTTCAAGCAATTAATGTACTAGATGGCAATGTCAGTAATTTTATGTGACAGGTCAATTAGTCAAATGAAAATTTTATGTGAAAGGGAAACGCATTCTTGAATATCATTTAACAATTTTTCTCAATACATTTATACTTTTGGCGTTATTTTGCTGGAAAGTTAAAATAAGGGAAGTCATTTGTAGCACATTTCTCAGATTACAAAGGGAGAAATCCCTCACATAAGCAAGGAGTTATTAGGACGTAAAGTTATGGTAAGTAATAATAAGGGCTAGCTGACGATATTTCAGTAATCTTTTAACGATACAGTTTCCTGGTTGCAATTTCCAGTTCTACAAAAGCAAAGTCAAAATTAGCTGCAGAAAAGCCCCCGCTGCAGTGAACATACAACACTTTCACTATTCACTTTTATAACGACACATTAAGTCTCTTCAAACACCCTCTATACTTTGTTCAATAAACACTTTAGAACTACCAAGACTGACTGTCTCCGAACTCTCGGTAAACTTTTACGCGACAAACGTTTAAAGCTCTTTCTAAACAATTTCGGGGAAATGGTCCCCTTTTTGTCATACCAAACAAATAAAAAATACGCGCTTTGTCCGTTTGTCTGTCTGTCTGTCTATTTATCGTAAGAAAAAGAATTCAGCTAAACTTTCTTCTGTACAAAATTATTATAATAACAAATTACGTCCTCAACGAATCAAATAAGAGTAAACTACCAAATATAAATATCGTAAAGAGGTGTTCACTTTTTTACAACCGTCGCAAACCAGCCCTTTTTTTAACTTGTTTCACGTATTTAACCTTTGGCGTACCAAAATTTTTAAGGAACGCTTAGCCCCAAGCTGGGTACAAAGTGTACCCACTTTGATTTTGTTTTATTGCAGTAATCCATTATAAGTAAATAAGCAACATTTTTTTACATAATGTATTCAAAAAAACATGTTATTAAAAAAACAATATCAACTAGACTTATTACACTGATTACAGTAATTAACTTGCCATGATTTTTGCAAAAGGAATTTTGGCATTTAGCACAATAAATACGGGATTTCTTATCTTTCTTCCTTGGACAATAATGACAACGTCCTAAAGATCTTGTCTGTTTTGTAGGATTGGGTTCCATTTCTTTAGGAGAGACAGAGACGTATACGGCCGAATATGACGTAATCTGTTAGAGGGAAGCTAATTGGAGGTTATAATAGTGGCGCAAGATCACAAAAATTAAATTGCGATTTAAATCCATCTAATCACGCTTGGTGTACGCCTTGGTTCGCCTAAGGTTAAGTGCAAACGACTTCTATTATAGAATAATCTCCTTCCTTCGCTATTTACAAATAATGCGCCTATTGCAATTAGAGTCGGCTGCGAAGGAACGCGTTCCCACTTTCGCTGAAAATAACGCGCAAATCATTGACCACCTGCATCTTAAATAAAACCTTTTATAACAGGTGGTAGACCGTTTAGTTCAATAACTCGAACGTAGATAACCCAGGAATTTTCTTTGTCTTTCGATCCAAAGGGTCTCAAAGCTTAACCTTGAGTTTAGCGTTTTTCCGCCATTTTGGATCAGATTTTTTTTTAATGCTCATATCTCGCTTTCTATTTATCGCAAGCGAGAGAAACTGGGGTCTTTGGATTCGAACTCGATTTACTGTCCTAGTTGGCCACAATTTGTAATTACATTGATAGTGCAGCACCGTACCACTACGTATTTAAATTTAAATAATATGGAACTCCTTTGAATTTACTATTTATTTCATTGTCAATCCAAATGTAATTACAGTACAAAAACGTACTACCAAAGAGTATAACGAGGAACCACTCATTAATGTTGCAATTTGAAACTTGGAGGTCTTACTAG